AATAAAAAAAAACGCAAAGTGGGTCTAATCCAACACAGGTTTTGAGAAGAGGTGCAAGTATGATAGTACTGTTGTACCTGGAACAGAGCGCGTCACCATCGTGGCCATCTTGGAATTGTGACGTCATATCACATATTGAAATCCAGCAATCGATATGCATGTCGATGGCACTTGAATTAGGTTTTTTGCGAAGAGCGTCGCCTCAAAGCAGAAGAAGATGAACAAAGAAAATGAGTCCAGTCCATTTCCTGGTCCAGAAGCAGCACCTCCTGGTTGGTTATGATTGTAAATAACAAAAGACCTAAATAAAGAAGTCATTTTAAAGTCGCCGAAACCAATCGTGCTATCACTTTAACAAATTTAACTATGACAATATTGTTAATCGCGGGGCCGCGGGGTGGGGTGGTGTTTGGCTGATAGGGGTGGAGGGGGGTACTGGGGATGAAATACATCTGAGACTATTATAGGTAGGAGAGAGAGATAGAGAGAGAGAGAGAGAGCGAGAGAGAGAGAGGGGGGTTAACGTCCACTCGCCACAAACCAGGTCACTTCGGGACTAGTAGGGGTCTTTAGCAGTGGAAAGAAACCGGAGGACCCGGAGAAAATCATCGCGGTTAGACGGGCTACCCTACTCCTTATCACGTACAACCGGGATATCGAAACCACGCCAGATGACTCAATGACAGACCTTACCCCCCCCCCCCTCTATATATATAGGAAGTGGGATAAGTTTCGCATATGGCAAGAAAGTTCCGGGAAGACAAACAAAACAATTCGTCATGGTTGACATAACTTAGGTTTTGTTGATACATGTAGACTACATGGTCAATGTATTTTTATAACAACTACCTGTACTAGTAGAGATACATGAGCAGGTGTTAACAATGGCGGGTATGATAAATTATAACTTATCTTATTTTCAATAGCTAATGTATACCTTTGACATATGTTTTCATTTTTCATAATTAAAGGAGCTATATCGTTATTCTCTGGCACATAGAAATGAATGGACACAAATGGGTGTATTGTGATGTAATAATGTAATATGAATGTATATAAACTGATCTACATTCAAGCAAGGGTTAAAACTGAATGGCAATCTCTGGCGTCTGGTTATTCCAGTCTACATCGGTAGTTTTCCCCTGAGGGGTATGTTTAGCCTCGTTCATCGAGTCACATCATTACTAATGGCTCTGGAAACGTGTGCCAATTTTACAGTTTTCGCTGTGTCTTGAATATTGGATATCAGAAGCCCATCTTTTTGCAGTAAGATCACAACATCAATGTTGATTTAAATTGACCACTAAGTCGTGTTTTCAATGTCGAAGACTTTGGATGATACTGAGTTAGAGACTTACCTCCTTTAATGTATGTTGTTTATGTATTTTTCGTGTTCATTTTTAACAGTTATGTATGGTTTGTATTTTTTTTTTTTTTTTTTTTGAGTCCTGTATCAATTGTCTGCTGTTCAATCCTTTTCAAATGAAATAAAATGGTGTTTAGAGTCCTACATTTGATCAAAACGGTCAAACATTTGGTCAAACCGGTCAAACATTTGGTCAAACCAGTCATATATAACTCTATACAAATTAAACACTTTTTGTAAGAAGACAAAAATAAAATCTCTACGCATGCAATATATTAATATTGTTGACTGTATATTGATCACATATTCTTTTGGACGGTTTTAGGCAAATATTATTTTTGACCTTTTAGACCACATTATTGGCCGTTGTGACCACATATTTTTTTTGGAGGTTTTACCACATATTCGTTTAGACCAAATGTTCTTTTGTGCTGTTTTGGGCCGTTTTGACCACATATTCTTTTTGGTTGTTTTGACCAGATATTCTTGTTGACCACATATTCGTTTTGGCCGTTTTGACCAAACACTATTTTTGACCGTTTTGACCAAACACTATTTTTGACCTTTTTTACCACATATTCGTTTTGGCCGTTTACATCAATATTCTTTTGGGTTGTTTTTATCAAAGAGTGACCGTTTCGTCTATAACATACAAACACAGCTGAATTTCGATAAAAATGAATCACAAAACCAAGGCTATCCGAACTGGCCCCGAGTTCCCAAAGCATTCTCAGACTTAAGTTAAGAATTAACTCAGTATTGTTTGCCTTATTTACTAAAATATAGTCCTTTACATAACTTTGGTAGTTTTAATGTATCAAATACATCAATAGGAAACTACGTGCAAAGTTTTGTGTTTCTGAAAAGTTGAGTAAATTCTTAACTTAAGTCTGAGAATGCTTTGTGAACTCGCGGCCTGATATATTGTTTGTTTTAACTGAAGCGACAAAGACAAGAAACATCAGAATTATAGAAAAAAAAATTCCCGTTACGATGAAGTGAAAGAATTTAACATTCATGTCGGCTTTTCTTTTTTATCTGAATTTTGATAAACTTGAAGATTAGATCAGTGGAATGTAACCCAATCTACTCGTAGCTTCCTGATAACTAACATACTAACAGGCTTCGTTAGATTACTAAACGTATAGTCATACAATTATCATAATATTTACTTAAATATACAAACTATATGATGAAACCCAAAATAAACATCAAAGTACTATATATACATAGTCTTGGTTATCAACATCAATACTGTAAAAACTAAACGTATAGTCTTAGAATTATCTACATAGTTGCTATAAGATCTGAACATAGAATTGTTTGTACTAACAGATTAGCAACATACCTATACAGAATATACAAAATATATTAGGAAACTCAACATAAACATCAAAACATACTGTAATAATAATAAATATATTATGAACTAATAGATTGTCAAATAAACAAACGGGGGCCGAAATAACTAAACAGGATCAAAAAAAAAGTTGCTGCCAAAAACTTTCTAATAACTAAGCTATTATTTTTCTTCATAAACATTTTGTTTTGAGATCTTGAAAAAAACTGAATAATTATAATTCCAAAAGGCAAATATAGAGTTAAAGATACATTATGGGAGATTAGATAAAGAGCTGGCAGTTCTCACTATAATAGTTAAAAACTAGATAATGTAAAAGGAAGTTGCTGAAAATTTCAGTCAAATTGATTCACTCTGAACCGAGAATTTTTCGATTGAATTTTGGGCCTAGCCTCGACCATCATTACTAAAGTCGGTACAATAAAAAAAAACATAGTCTCGATTATCCACTTTATGATTTCATCATGAATGGAAGTTCAGCAGCAAATCGGATCCCAATCCAGTAAATATCGCAGACTAGCGATGATACCGAGAATTGATTATGGGCTGGATAAGTTAATAAATGTCTAATTAATAGTTTATATAACATTTCAGGTCTATAGAAAGACCCGCAATAGGCAGATTAAGCTCTTGCATAATGTATGTTTAAGCTTTTAAAAAGTCGAATAGTACAAGAAAACTAACCTACCTAAATAAACAAGAACATTACGACCAGATATACGTGTATAAATGCAAAGTTTTGAAAAGAAATGAATAACCAGCGTGAATAAATAAGATGATTACGACCAGATATATTTTATTAAACATTAATAAGTGAATTATCAATATTATGAAACATATTATAGAAACATTAATAAGTCAATTATCAATATTACCATACTTTTATAAACAAAATAAACATTATACACAACATATTCCATAAATATTATATTAATCATTTTTACACATTTCATAAAGTTCAATTAGACATTACTGAAACCTTAATCGTTTAACCATGTTAGTTTTGGATATGCCAATCTGATAATTTCATTATTACCTAAGATTACAGCCAATCCCTGAATTATTTCATTTGGTTCCAAAGTTGGCATACTATATTGTCTTGGTGTCCGTGTGTTTGTTTTGTGGATATCTAACTATATATAACGCGTACGACCAACCCCTGCAATAATTCGTTCAGTTTCATATAGGGGTGGGGTGGGGTGGATGGACTAATGGTTAGTCTGTCATTGAGTCAACTGGCGTGGCTTCGATTCACCGGTTTTACGTGACAAGGAATGGGGTTGCCTGTCCATCCTCGTGGGTTTTCTCCAGGTCCTCTGCTTTCCGCCCACTGCTAAAGACCCCTACGCGCAAGCGTATTATTGAAATAAAACTGAACCATATGTTAGTCCCGAAATGATATTCATGTAGTTTGTGTCGAGTGAATGTTAAACCCCCCTCTCTCTCTCTCCCCCCTCTCTCTCTCTCTCTCCCCTCTCTCTCTCTCTCCCCCCCTCTCTCTCCCTCTCTCTCTCTCTCTCGGTTTCATAGTTGGCTTATAATTACACGTACTCCTCTCAAGTCCACTTAATATTTATTCTAATTTACTATCATGGCGCTAGTATAATGGCGACATTATATCAAACAAATGTAAAGACTGAATAGCCGAGAATTAAAATATTATTGATAAACAATTCGTCTTTAAAGGACCCAAGCCTCCTCCCCAATCTCATTTTGATATCCCCCGAATAGAAGGATACTCCATCAATGAAATAATAATTTTAGATATCCCTGAAAAACCGGTCGGCACGAATGTACTAATGATAATTATTTTTTACAGATTGGTAAAACATGAATTTCTAACATTGTACACCTCTAAATAAGTTTATATCTTTCGTCAAAAGTCAAAACCTAGTAACTCACTTTTTTATATCAAAATTGAGTTAGGACCAAATTTGTAGTTACTAGGGTATGTGCTTCCTGTTGTTGTACTAGATATTCCAATCTTTTGATTTTGTAAGCAGTTACACCCATGACACAACTTCCTTCCTTCATTTGCCTAGTATGCCACAGAAAAACCTAGTAACTCAATAGTCAAATCAATGGATAAGCTGGGGGTTTAATATTCATTCATTGCGTTTTCCTTTGTTTTCTCAAAATAAGAAAAACCTGGGTTATTAGGTGTTGCCTTTTGACTGAAGTTATGATGTGTGTCTTTCTGTGTAAGGAGTCGAGGTGAGGGGGAGGGGGGGGGGGGGGTAACACAATATTATTTAAAAACGAAAATCGTCTTACCTTGTGTAACACAGATTAGTGAAATCAACAAGCTAGATACGGCCACATAATCCATGTTGAATAACTTCTCTCTCATCGCGACAAACACCGTCTTATAAATTATACGTTATTCTTCTAAATTCAGTTCAATAATCACCAATATCATCAGTAATCCAGCAAAGTCATTATAATATAAGTCTATATTACCACTACAGAAAATACCAGTATTTCACACGCAAACGTCCATAACATGCACAACCACAGCCACGCGCGTTGCCACTATTCAATTATTTTTAGTTGATAACAAAATATTTCTCGATTTCAAAGGCTTTGTCTCGAATGCAATATAATCCTTGCTGAAGGTTTATAATTTCCTTAGAATAATTTCAAGTAGCTTGTAATATAATCCTTGCCGACGGTTTATAATTTCCTTAGATTAATTTCAAGTAACTTGCATTTAAATAGGTTCTGTTGCAGAAAAGTAATTCGATTCGTTTATGTTTACTTCTGTCCTGCGTCAATAATGCACTCTAGCCACGACAGAAAAAAAAAGATGACAATGCTTTCAGTGTTTCTGTAAACACCCCCGCGAAGTAATCATTTAATTATTTAGTTGGTGGTAATCACTTGGTCCTATAAAGAATCCACACAGCTTTTAGTATTAAATCGAAGATCCGAACACGAGCTTGGAAACAAATAGCTGCTCTCCAGGATTCATCCAATTATATCCATTAGATAAATTGTCCAAAATAACCCAAACCTATAAGATAAAAATTGTTAAAAACAAAAAAAATCCAATACCAAATATTCCTACGCGGGCATATATTGCTCTGGGTTCATTACATGCAGCGATTCTCCAACTTGGTCCTTGCGAAAAAAAATTTCTGTGGACGTTTTTACTTAAATAATGGAGTTGACATTTATCACGAGGGTTGCTAAGCTTATTTCAGTAATTGGTACTTATCTCCCCCTGACAAGAGAAAAGATGACAGTTTGTACCTGATTAACAATAATCTATGACGTATTGCCTGACACGGTGCTATCAGACACTTTGTGGTATAAACTCTAATATGACATAAACAAACGTCTCTAACCAATTATGATCAACGTATCATAGACCTCGTGGATTGAGTGACATATATAAACCACGTGCTTAGATCAAACCGTGGCAAATTGAGTGACGTATAAATCACGTGATTAGATGAAACCGTCGCAAATAATACAGCATTTGTTTATGACAAGTCGTCCTTTCCGGAAATTAATTAACTTCTCGGTGATTGGTAACATGCAAGATGTCAATCAAAATATTACAGATTATATTTGATGGCCATATGATATACAGATATATAGAGGAGGGAAATAGAGGAGGCGCCACGGTGGCTTAGTGAGTAAGACGCTGGCTCGCTAACCTGGAGGTCGCGTGTTCGATCCTTGCGTTGGCCGAGAAAGTTCATCTGGATTTTCCGACGTGGTTTCTCCCCTGTCAGTGGTGCAGGACTGAAGGCTTGGCAAGAGAAATGTATAGTCGTTCGGATAAGACGAAAACCTGGGGTCCCGTGTACACATTGGCGTGCACGTAAAAGATCCTTTGTCAGTTGGAATTCGATATAAGAGTAGACCGTTATAGCGCCGCTGTCCGGGCAAAATTTCTATCATAGCACACTGTCGGAGCAGAACAGTAGGATGTTAAATCCCATTTCATTTCATTTCATTTCTTATTAAAGGAAGCGGACGCAAATATTAAACCAAAAAAAAAAACAAAAAAAAAAACACCACAATTCGTGGGACCTAAAGTTGACAAGACGTCTAGTAATTTATGATTTAAGAAAATCAACGTACGTGAAATGTTCGTGAAGAAAACAAAATACTTTTATAATTACGTCATCTTATCGCCATTCTTCACCACCATTTGTGCAAAAGTTGTTTCGATATCTTTTTTCCTTGATTTATTTTATTATTTAAAGCTATTCTTCGCCAATCAAAAAATATAAACCATTCCCCAATAATACTTTTACGCCCGTTTAGAATTTGATTCCTTTATTGTCAACTGTCAACAACTCCAAGACGACCAACTTCATCACATACAACTAAATGAAACGTGACATGCTAACAAATAATGTATCGCAATACACGCAATTCCTTGCTTCTCATGTTCGTGTTTTTATTTAATCCGAAATAATCATGGCTGATAGATCCGATTCCCAGGGTGAAAGAACACAATTACCACACATTAAAAATATCCAGAAAACAAAATGTCAAACGTCAAGGATTAAATTTTCAAGTCCCATGATGACGAATAGAGATGAAAATATTTTAGAAAAAAAAAACAAAAAAAATAGAAGTGGCTTTTCCGCACAGTGAGATGATATTCAGGGATATATTGTATAGAAAACTTGAATACGCCGGTAATGCCAGGCATGTTGTCCAATATCTACACGGTGCTTGTATAATATCTAAAATAGACTATTATAGTTGTTAGAGAAGCTGGTGTATGTGTATGTGTGTTGAGTATGTTCATGTAGATTTAAATATTTTAATCAATACGTACGTGACAAGGAGTAGGGTCGCCTGTCTAACCTCGTGGGTTTTCTCCGGGTCCTCCGGTTTCCTGCGCGCTGTATCACAAAGTCTGTCATTGAGTCAACTGGCGTTGTACGTGACAAGGAGTAGGATCGCCTGTCCAACCTCGTGGGTTTTCTCCGGGTCCTCCGGTTTCCTCCTACTGTTAAAGATTTCTACTCGCAAGCGAATTATTGAAATATAATTGAACTATGTGTTAGTCCCGAAATGACCTAGTTTGTGTCGAGTGGACGTTAAACATCCTCCCTCTCTCTCTCTCTCTCTCTCTCTCTCTCTCTCTAATCAATACCCGATGATAAAAGTTAGAGAACTGGTTCAATCGCTAAAATCATGTAAGATAATCGTTGGCTAAAGGGCAACAAGGAATCTTAGAACTAGAGTTGCGATTACTTGTAACGCATCCGAGAGCCAACAAAAACTCTGTCAACTTAACACGTCACTCAATGGGTATTAGTGTCTTGCTGTAATCGCTTTCCGTCATTTCCTTTAAAATGTGGAATAATCACTTAGGGAAACTCTAGGAATGAGAATACTTGTCCATTCAGAATTTCCTATCTCATTCTATGAGATTCCAAATCTTGACCACGTTGTTAAGTCCTTGAATGTGACAAATAGAGCATCGCTAGATAGGTTTGATGCAACGGAACCATAAGTGACATCTTTGACAGTTCCTGAGTGAATTTCAAGTAGACCGTGAACAATGAAGTAACTCTAAAGGTGTCATTACACGTGTCAATAGTCTCGATCAATAGGTTTGTTTAGCAGCGCATCACTCTGACACAATACCACTAATCTAATCCGTGACGTAATTACCTTGAAATTATGTCGATAGTGAATCTGTAGACTATGGAACAGCTAGTACAACCGCGACAAACTAACCCATATCCCATAAATATAAAGTATTGAAGACGTTCGTTCAGCTGAGACAAATTTGATATAAAAAGTTTCCGTTATTATACGTTTACGTGTAGACTTCTTTTGACCAGTACACATCCATGAAACATCTTATTCTACGGTTTGTAAAGGAATGCGTTGAACTGGGACGAAAAGTCATTGATTATATGGAAAGCGTTCAGTTATATTCTCTTTAAGATTACAGCTTTGGTAGTATCCTTTTGTTCGCCGACAAGCGGAGAAAACGCGAACGTAAACATTAACCCGACAATATTCATCCACCTGCGACGATAGCGAATTAGAGCTGGAAGCTGCTACAATCCTACTAAGAAAAATATTGGTAACACAATGATGAAGACACGAACGTAAACACCGACTACAAAACACCCTGATTCACATTACATTACACAAATTGGTTTTTACCACATAATAGTTCCTCGGAGATCTCTTTAAATTCACTTTCTCAAAATTCTGTAAAAGCTAAAAAAAATTGTATCAAAGCGTCAGAGCGGCACCATTCTTTGCCGGCGTCATATAAAGCGATAAAACTGACGTTAAAGCTAGTCGCTTGTATCACGGGCATTCAATTAACTAAATATAATCAGAGATGCCGAGATTCACTGGAGAACTGGTAGAAGAAACAGCCTGTGTCTGTTGTAATTAAAACCGGTGAGTGCAATATTCTGTATAAACCATCAACGAGATTGATAGAAACGCTTATCATAAAATCTTCATACCGGATTAAGTTCATCAGGCACAAGTAAAACGACTTATTTATTAAGAATTTGTGAGAGAATTCGCACAGCGGTTAGGGAGTGACCATTAAACCGTCCATTAAGAATTCGTTTACACCAAGGAATGGATATCTTGAAATGCACACATCAGCTTTGTATTGATAACTAAATCGCTCTATATATTAAGAAGAGGGGTTTGGTGGCCGAATGGTTAGCGTGCACGTTGTATCATAAGGTCTGTCATTGAATCAACTGGCGTGGCTTCGAATCCCCATTGTACGTGGCAAGGAGTAGGGTCGCTTGTCCAACCTCCTAGGTTTTCTCCGGGTCCTCCGGTTTCCTCCTACCGCTAAAGACCCTTATTCGCTTGTGAATTATTGAAATTTGTTAGTTACGAAATGACATAGTTTGTGTCAAGTGGACGTTAAACCACATTCCCTCTCTATAGAATTTATAAGAGAAATGGATCTTGAAAGATGGACTGGGTCATCACTAAATCGTTCTATTAGTATTTATTAAGAAATGGACCCTGAAACACACATTTTCTCCGCACAAGCGAATTATTAAAATAAAATAGAACTATATGTTAGTTTCGAAATAACCTAGTTTGTGTCGAGTAGACGTTAAACCCCACTCTCTCTCTCTCTCTCTCTCTCTCTCTCTCTCTCTCTCTCTCTCTAAAACACACACATGCTAGTGTGTGCGTGTGGGGGGGGGGGGCTGAATTAGGCAAAAAAGCGTAAGTCCTGTGTGTCAAGAAAATAGCTTTGATTTCGCCCTATGAGGGGGAAGGGGGGGACCCGGGATATTTATACCATTTTGCCCCCGATCCGGTATTAATAATAATAATAATATGTATATTTATATAGCGCTAGTACTCCGTGCATAAAGGCATGCTCACAGCGAATACGTATAGGAAATGAAATGAAATTGGGTTTAACGTCCTACTGTTCTGCTCCTAAACTGGGCTAATGAAGACGGGCATACGCCATACAGTGTGCTATGAGGGAAATTTTGCCCGGGCAGCGGCACTATCGCCTACTCTTATATCGAATTCCAACTGCCAAGGGATCTTTTACGTGCATTCCAATGTATACACTGGACCTCGGTTTTTCGTCTCATCCGAAGGACTAGACAGCTGTCCTTGTCAGGCCCTCCGTCCTGCATCACTGACAAGGGGGAACCACGCCGGAAAATCAGGATGAACTATCTCGGCCAATGCAGGGATGGAACACCCGACCTCCAGGCTAGCGAGCCAGCGTCTTACCCACTTAGCCACGGGATCCCCAATACGTATAGGATATTAACCTACCCGAGGTTGATATGGTAGAGAACGCGCGGCCGAAGCCCAAGCGTTCTCTACCATATCAATCCGAGGGAGAGTAGGTTTATATCCGACATATACAACGCCATTTCACCCTTAAATTTAATGGGCTCTTCCATTAAACGGCAACAACGATTGGATAATTGCTCGATAGTTTCCGCCAAATAGCGAAAATTACCGAAGTAATCACGTGCAATTACGTGCATGTTTTTGTTTGTACGTCGCCATTTTGGACTATTGAATTGAAAGCAAAAACAAAATGGATAGTAATACGAAGTCAGACGAATAATCAATCCTTTTTAGCCAACATATTGACGATGGAATAGATGTGAATGCAAATATCGACGAGGATCTATCCAAAGCCTGTAGAAAATTTGGACCAAAAGGCATTCTTTTCCAAGAATTCTGACAGTGAACCATGTTTGAAGGTTTTCGGTATGTTCAGAGAAGGATTTGACCGACTGTTTTAAGTGGACTGTACCCAAAAATACTTTACAAAGTCAAAGGAACTCTTGGACGATAAATACTTTCAAGTCTTGTAGTGTGTGGAGAAATAATCGCAATATGGACGAAAAGAAAATTCTGACATGTCTTAGACATGGATAACCGATCTAAATACATGTATGTCGATAAGTACGCCGTCTATTTCGGTCCTGAATGTTAGAAACTGTACCATAACAAATTTTAATTGTCAAAAGAATAAAAATTTATTTCTGTGGTTTTTTTTTTGTATTATTTCGATCATCTACGTCATCAGCGGTTGATATGAGCCGAATATATTGACCTGAGATGATGTCATTAGCGGTTGATATGAAATATCAACCTGTCATGACGTCATCAGCGGTTGATATGAACGAATATATCAACCTATGATGATGTCATGACAGGTTGTTAGGAGATACATGTATAACTGCTATGGACATCAAAGTAAAAACTACCGCCAGTTGTATATAGTTAAATAATTTGATTAATCATGATAACATTTCTCAAAAAAGATGGGTTTTAAATCTTGATTTAAAACAAGAGAGAGTTGGAGATGATTTAATGATTTCTGGTAGATTGTTTGTTCCACTGTTTAGGTGCATTAATGATTAATGACCGGAGTATCAACTCATGTAGGTGGTAAAATCTTGTGTTTTATTAATTGTAGAATTATCTATGACATCACGAGGTTGTTATGTACGTGATTTATCTATCTTCTAAGTTAATACTGTTATATATATCAAAATTACCCATAAACCTTTCCTCCCCGTGGTTGCCAAATACATCAAAATTACTGGATACCTATCTTTGTACTGTTGTCTTTAATTGGTTCATTTGGTTTATTAAGTAAGTATTGTTGTTTTTAATTGGTTCATTAAGTCTGTATATGTATACAGTAGGTAGTGTAGGGTATAATAATGATGGTATAATAATGATAATAGTCGACCATATTGATGATATAAACATACCTCCTGACATACTATGTGGTGGTATTGTCTGTAATTAATATTGTTGAACACCTTTACAGACATATTATACCTCACTTTAGGTAAGAATGTTCACCGTTTGGCACCTATTGCTACCTTAATTGCTCCCATTATAACTGCTAAATATACACATATATCAGCCACAAAGACAGGACCGAGTTCGGTTTGTGGTGATGGAGGGGGGGGGGGGCGAATGGTTAGCGCGTGTGCGTTGTATCTTAAGGTCTGTCATTGAGTTAACTGGCGTGGTTTCGATTCCACTCATTGTACGTGACAAGGATTAGGGTCGCCTGTCCAACCTGGTGGGTTTTCTCCGGGTCCTCCAATTTCCTCCCACTATTAAAGACCACTACGCGCAAGCGAATTATTGAAATAAGATTGAACCATATGTTAGTCCCGAAATGATCTGTCTCTCTAGTTTGTGTCGAGTGGACGTTATCCCTCCCCACCCCCGCTCCTTCCACTGCTAAAGACCCCTGCTCGCAAGCGAATTATTGAAATAAAATTGAACCATGTGTTAGTCCCGAAATGACCTAGATTGTGTCGAGTGTACGTTACCCCCCCCCCCCCCGTCTCTCGCTCCCCCCTCTCTCTCCCCCTCTCTCTCGAATTCGGTTAACCCCCTCTCCCTCTCTCTCGAATTCGGTTAACCC